CTACCAAAAGCAATAACCAAACCACTTAAGAGAATAGAAATCAACACACCTAAAATTGTAATAAGTGGGGTTGTAAAATCTGATATCAACTTTGGTGGTAATAAAATAAAGAATCTGGGTGGACCAACCCAAGACAATGAAGCAGCAACCAAAAGTTATGTTGACAATCTAGTTCATCATACTGCAGTTCAACCAAGCCATTATAAAGATGAGTTTAGTTACCTCATGTCAAGTGGGGCTCAATGGACTGATGAAATAGATGGAGGAGTTAGTTTTGTTATAAATAAGATAGGAGACTTATCTTCTTCTAAAGGTAATTTTCATGACTATAACCACAAAGTACTTTTCATGACTATAATCAAAAATTCTCAAGGTAAATATATTTATAAGATGGGAATTAATTTTTTCAGACTAGCTGCAAATACCGAATACACGTTGTGTTTGGAAATACTCAACACTGATTATAATCTTTGGAATAATACTCAAATAAGTGTTGACAAAGGAACTTCAACAGGATTATCAATTGGAAATTTAGGCGTAAAAAAACTATCCCATAACTATACTGATTCAACAGGGAAAACACAAACTATTTACTACCACAGAATAATAGTTAATTTCCGGAAGTTGTCATCTGGGAATAAGTTCTTTCTTCACATTTTGGTTGATATTCTTCGGGGTGGATATAACCTGACTTTGTATCCGAGACAGTTTTTAGGGGTTTATATTATTGCTTATGGTATTAAGGGTACATTTAGCAATATCGATCCAGATAAAGTTTACGACTATCACACCGCATTTGATATTAAACCAACAGAAGTAGTGTACAATGTTGATATAAATGCAAATCAAAAAGAAATTAAAAATATCAAACTTGACCGAAACAGTAATAATAGTGCTGCAACAGATGGAGTGGTAAAGAAATTAGCTCCTTTCACTATAAATGATTTATACAAAAAATATTTCGAAGATTTTTTTGATTTTAGTGATGCAAATAAATACGGATTAAGTAGAAGCTCATCTGGGATTGTTTTTAATTCTTTAAATTCTATTACTGGTAATCCTACAAGAAATATTGGTATACCTAATAGAACCATAGATGATATAAGAAAAGAAGGTATAAATGTTAGTAATTATAATGTTAGTTTTACTCTTCCTAATGGAATTATAAAATATACATTATGTATTGTTTTTTATCATCGGAGAAATAGAAATTTTAGTATAATTAAAAGAGATACAAATAGTCTAAATACTTTATTAAGTTTAGGTTATTCTTCATCAAATAATGAAATAAGTTTAATTATTAGAAGGAGTGAAACTAATTTGCCCTTAACAAGTGATTTTAATGGTAAAAAAATTGTTATATGGTTAACAGAAAATTTATACACACCTATTACAAAAGTTAAAATAAGTAACTACAACGCAATATTAACTAAACCATTCGTTTTTTACAAGAATGAACAAGAGTTTGTGTTTACAACTCAAGATGGCGTGTTAAGCAAAATAATGTTTTCTCCAAACTTTTACGACGACGACTCTGAGCAATATCATAAAGTAATGCTTCAAGAAAAGTTAAATGGTAGTTACATATTATAGACAGTTGGTGTAGCCAAGGGAGGGGTAATATAAACAAAAGAATAAAATGAAGGATATCTTTGAATTCAATCACATAGATAAATCTCTTTCAGAATCAGACGTTAAAACCCTAAAAGACTTTTATAGACACTACCACAAGAAATACTGGTGTTTTAAGAAATCGTATAAGAGTTATAAATTTCTTGATGATGTATTTACAATTTCTAGGATATGTTTGGTTGCAATAGGAACTATTTCTGGTGGAATAACCCTAAACCCTGTTGTTCTCGGAGTAGTAAATGGAGCAGGAGTTATTGTGGCGGGAATTGGAAAGAAAAATAATTATAAGAGAAAAATTGAGATGACAAGGATTGCATTCACTACTTATGAAAAAGTACTTGTTGAACTACGTGCAGCTCTTCGGGGAGACGAATTTAATAAACAAGAGTTTGTTGATCGCATGAAGTTGATAGATGAAATGATAATTGACCAAACACCTATAGCAGATAGATTTGTTAGTAGTTATGGTAAAAAGTTCGAACTAAGTAAACAGTGATTTTAATATCAAAACAATATTAAAATCTAGCCGGTTTTGAGAGATTTATAACTATCCCACCAATTTTCATAATTTTCTAAAGTTTTTGGTGAAATTTTAAGATAAATTAGTTTGTACTTTTCACAACCCATCTCAGCCAAAAGTTTTTTGATCAAATAAAAAATACTTATCATTCTCTTTCTACAGTATTGCTTGTTTAGTATTTCCATGATGTAATTGTCTATTGTCATTAACTTACTGTAAAGTTCGTATTTTTGTTCATCATTTAGGTTTATTCTTTTAGAAACTTGATTAACCTTTTTCTCATAGTGATACTTACGCTGATATACACTCTTTTTTCGATAATATAATCTATCACAATCTTTAATATCGTAAAATCCTAATACATGTCCGTTTGCTACTCCACATTCATCACAAATTTTATAACCGTAATCAATTGTAAAAGATGTACTGTTTTCACAATTACTACATTTAGCTTTCAAATTTGATTCCTCAATGGGTTTACTAGTATAATTATGTAATATTTCTAGATAATTCTTTATTTGGTCTTCTGTATATGACATTTATTATTCATTAAATAACTATCTTATTATCTTAAAGCTATCGTTTTTACCTTACCCAAGAGGACTTCACGCTTGTCATCTTCATTACTTAGAGCTACTTTGTTAACTTCTTTCGAATATATATCATGATTTTCACTTCTTATTATATTCATCTTTCTCATTTCTTTTTTACCTGAAAATAAACATTGAACATAGTCATCAAAATCTAATTTCTTTTTCACAACATTTTTTTTTATTCCTTTACATTTTCGCACCTCTTTATCCTCTTCTATTCTAAAACTGTAAAGTTTTGGTCGTAATCCAACAAAACAAGTTATTTGTTTTCCTGCTACTTCATCTTTAAACATTCCAATTACTTTTTTGTTAACTCCTGTCAGTATTCCAGATGGATGATTGGGGGGGTAATCAGATGTGTCAAACTTGTTTTTTATGTCATGTGATATATCTTTGTAAAAATCATCTGTGTAAATTTGGTACATTAATGAGTCTGTATCTGTAAACAATAATTCGGCTTTATTTTTGTATTTCTTTCTGATGTAATTATAATGAAAATCAAACATTAATGTTTTTGACAAATCTAGAATTGCTTGACCGACATATACTGGTTTGTCAAAATAAATTTCGGTTTTTTTCATATGAACTGCTATAAGATTTTTATCAAATATCGTAGCCCTATCAAAGTTTGGACGACTTGTTAGTTTAGCAGCTTTCTTACGATTATCAACGAGTTCTATATTTTGTCTTTTCCTTATATTTTCTATTGTTTTTCCAAACACTGAATTATTCATAAGTTTAAAAAAGTCTTTCTCAAAACTGTTAGCTGCTGTTTTTCGAAGTTCAGTGTTTTTGCGTATATATGGTTCCATCCAAGGTCTTTGGTAAAAAGATATTCCTCTATGAACCGCAGTTATTCTCATTCCCATCTCAAGATACTGCCTTAAATTTCGATAATGTACAACATAATTTTTTCTTGGTTTAAAATGACAAATTAGTTTTTCAACACCATTAACAATCAACTTTTCAGGAGCTAAAGGATAGTCATTATGTTTTTCCCATAAGGATGAAGGATATTCCAAATCAACTTCAAATATATATCCTTTTCTTCCACGATTCGACATACTATGATTTACTTTTTCTAGGATTTCCATTAATGTCTCTTTTGTTAGGTTTCTCATCCATTTAAATCCATGTGTTGGAAGTGATTGAGACATTGCCCAACCATAAAGGTTATTTGCATCGAGATATTGAATAAATGTGGACTCCTCATCAGGATTGTAAGATTTCATATATTTGTTATTCGCTTCTGCGTATCTTTTTGATATATGAGTAATACCACCACGAATACCTTTTTCTATCATCATTAACATATCATAATCATTTAGTAATTGTAATTCCTGTCCAGTTTCTTTGAGACATGCATCCCAAGCTAAACCAGGGGATGTGTAATAATGAGCTGGATCTAACTTGTAATGTTTTAGACAAGTTTTTCTAAAGTTTTCAAATACGTCTGCCAAAAGTAGAACATCAGTCTTTAGGTAAAGATCATGATAATCTCTTAATGATTTACATTTAAAAGTATCCCATACATTACTTGCGTGTTGGTAATCATCTTCAGTTATGTCTTCATCGTTTAGTTTTGAATAAAATTCTTCTTTTGGTGGTAATTGTGTTTCGGATAGTTTTTCAAGTGATGAAACATAATCATAAGGATAAACTCCCTTACGAGTAAGTAGATCTACATTTTTCTTAAATTCTCGTTTTGTATTATAAAAATCATCTGGTTGTAAATTTGAAACAAGATTAGCAAGTGATGTTTGAAGAAACTTAAATGAATCTATAAAACGAATTTCAAAATACAATGAAACCATTTCATCGTTTTTTTTAGACCTATACTCATCAACTTTAATCTTTTTAGAAAAGGATATGTATTTTTCTTCCGTTGAAGGAATGCAATTTAACTCACCTGGTAAAGTTGCGAGTTGTTTTATAAACAAATGAGCGTCATACCCTTGAAGATTATGAAATATAACTGGTAAAACTAAAGGTTTCCTACACTTAAGATTACAACTGTTATGAGCAGCACCACGATACTGACCTGTAAAATGACAATGATCTCTAACTTTGTCTTCAAATAAATCTTTGTTACATATATGACAAATCATTGCTTTATCAAATGATTTTTGTTCGTCTTTTGTTAGTATAAGAGGTTTTGGTCTACGATAAAAATCATTATAAATACTTTGTGTTGCTTCTGTTAGTTTTTCTACGAATATTTTTGGTATATTTTCGTCTTCTTCTTTTTTAGTATATGTAATTGGTTTTATTCTTTTATCAACCACTCCTTTAATAAAAATACAAAATCCTGATGGTTCGTGTTTTTGGTAATTATAATTATAAGAATCTTTTGGATTAGGACAACAAGTATTCATTGGTTTGGTAAAACATTCAAAATCCGCATAAGCTACAAAAGGAATAGGTATTTGTTTGTTATGATTTTTGAAATGTAAAATCGATCCTGATTTTGGCATTTTCACAGAAACTGTCTCGTTATTTGAACAATATAAAATATGTTTTTGTAATAATTCTTCTTTTGTAAAATGAGTAAAACATCTCTTACAAATATGAATTGGCTCATTTGTTCTATAAGTGATTTGTGACCGAAAAAGACGAGAAAAGTTTTTAATCAGAGAATAATGACATTTCCCATTCTCTTCATAAAGAAATAAATCTATTGATTTTTGAGGGTCACGTAACGCCATCCGGAGGGGATAAAACTTTTTGTCGTGAGTAACTGAAAATACATTTATACCTGGTAAATCTGGATTAAGAGTTTCAAATTTGGTAATGTCTCTGATTTTAACTGGAAAAGTAAATCCCTTAGGAATATTAAGCTCATGCTCATATTGTTTTAAATCTGTCAAACGACAATCATTCTTTTCTCTTGGATGGAGATATCGAAGTACAGACCATAAAAAACATTTAGAATCTTTATTTCGAATACTAACAATTGCTTTTTTTCTCATAATCCAATCTGGAAGAGGAATATAAGAAGAACCTTTCATTGGTCTAAAATTAACAGTATGAATTTCTAAATGTATGACTTCTTTAAAATACCACCCACTACCATTTAGTTCATATATACTAATCTTTTCAATGATTTCACTAATAACTTCATTAAGTAATTTTTTTACATCGGTTGATTTAAGATTAATATAAGTATTTGAATGAAAATATGCTTTATCCTGAACTTCAATTACTAATTTATCGTTAGTTTCCTTTTTTTCCATCATACAAACCAGAACAAACTTCACTTTGATATTTCGATTATTTCTAAGAAAATCTTTAATAATAGGTGATTTATTTTTAAAGAACAGTAAAGGAGTAACATTAGATTCTCCATTGATTATATGTTTTTTAGCAAATTCATCTAAAGCTGATTTTTCTTTTACAAGTCCTTGATTATGCTCCTTAATAGCTCTCTCAAGAGCTTTACGAAAATAAGGAGGGGTATCTTTTGGTATTTCTTTGTTTTTTATACATTCCTGAAAATAATCATCAAATGATTTTATCTTTTTATTTTTAGTGGGGTTTTTCTTTTTTGATTTCCATTCTTTTTTTATATCAACACCTTTTTTTATTTTTTCATTGAGTTTATCTACTTTTCTAATATGACGAATTATTTTTTCTTTTTCACTTAATTCTTTATAATTATCCTTAATTACTTGTTTCTTCTTGTTTAATATTTGTTTTAATTCATCCAAAGATAAACTCTTATACTCTTTATCACTTATAAAAGAATTAGAACTGTTAACTGATTTTTGAGTCATATCTCCTTATAATCTTATTATATTAATTTCTTTAAATCATTTTATTTTTCCACTTCAACCTTAGTAAAACAGGTTTTACCAGAAATTAGTTGATAACGGTACTTAATCAGCTAATGACGTATTTAATCAGAAAAAAAAGTCAATGATAGAAAATAACCAGAAAAAAGTCTATGACGTAAGACAGAATTTAATTGAACAATGACAGAAGATAAACTCAGAAATTTTTTGAAAAAAGTACAAAAATTTCTTTGTCTAAATTCCGTCATTGAAATTTGGGGTCGAATGAGGGAAATAATTGAAAAATGACAGGGGAAAAGTACCAAGTGAGTGAGTAACATGGCATCATTATATAACTACTCCTGAACGTATAAGGACGTCTTAGTATGTATAATTTTAAAGGTGTCCTCTTTTGGATTCTTTTGTATATTATACCCCACTCACACCAACTAAACATTTTTTATTAAAGCCACGGATTAAAAAAAAAAGAAAGAAAGAAAGACCGCTGAAGACTGGAACACAGGTTTTCACACAGGATTCAACAGAAACTCAACATGTTTTGCAATTTGCACCAAATTTTCAGTCAACTTAAGACAGTAAGCAGCTTTCATGA